ATCAGAAAAATCAAAATCGTATCGGAAAATGGAGAAACCGTAGACAACTTCGACTTTTTTAAATGAAACACCCTGTATATTTTGCGATAAAATGAAAGACCTTTTTTTCCTGATTACAAATATATATATATATGTTGATCACATTTGCATGAGCCATTTCTGACATATTTCAGCTTAAATTATAACTAAATTGCAAAGAAATTTTATAAAGATAGAGATCCTTATGGTACTTCTCTGCAAATTCTTTATAATTTAACCTGAGATATGTCAACAATAGGCTCGTACAGCACATTTTTTTTATTTCATATTCTAAAAGAGCGTATTGAGTTTAGCAGTTGTGCAAAATTTCATATTTTTCCGAGCCCTTGTTCATATTTAAATAAATTATCAAAAAGCTCCAAATTTGGAAGTTTTGAAACACGTGGTGACGTCACTGCATCTCTCACGTTGGTCGTGTGACGGCCTTTAGCCCGTCTTGACTCGAGAGATGACGTCATACCATCTCTAAGCGATGAATTTCTGAGGCATAATGTTTTATTATTCAAAGCCGCATAACTTTTTTAATATTTATCCAATTGCGCTGAATTTTTTTTTGTGCTATATGTGAGTAATACTCCATAAAAATATCAAAAAACGTGGTTAATGAAACCTCACTGAACGAGCCTATTGCTCACGCAAATGTTATAAATATATATATATATATATATATATATATTTGGAATCAGAAAGAATAGATCTTTCATTTTATCGCAAAATATACAGGGTGGTTCATTAAAAAAAGTCGAAGTTGCTTACGTTTCTCCATTTTCCGATGTGATTTTGTTTTTTCTGATAAAGTTATCAGAAAATATAGAAAAAAACTGTCAAGTTTTGTATTTAAAATTTTTTTCTATCTTAAATAGTAAAGGCTGTAGGTATGGTGCCAAATATAATCAAATACCCTGTACACTAAATTACCACTTCTGACAGAAATTACCACAAATTACCAGTAATTTCCTCTAAATTACCACTTTTTTTTTCTATTACCTTTCATTGCCTCAGGAATTACCACTCAATGCCACTCAAATTACCACTTATGACCTGTTATATCCGCTAAATACCACTAATTACCACTGTCAATACCACTAATTACCACTGTCAATACCACTAATTACCACTGTCATTACCATTAATTGCCACTAAAATTACCACTAAATACTAGGAATTTATTTCAATTTCCAAGTATACCCGAGACTAGAACTCAATAACAAATCGAGATGTTAAAAGAAGAGCAAATCAAGATGTTGAAAGTTGAAAAAACGAGATACTCAGGAAGGCATTCTAACATGTCTCGAAGAAAAAAGGATTCCAAAATCTTGCAAAAACTCAAGTTTCAACTTCTAGAAACTGGATAAACATCATTTGATTGATGATAAATGATGTTAAAAGAGGAGCAAATCAAGATGTTGAAAGTTGAGAAAGAGAAACACTCAAGGAGGAATTTCAACATGCCTCGAAGAAAAAAGGATTTCAAAATCCAGCAAAACTCAAGTTCCATCTTCTGGAATCTGGATAAAAATCATTTGATTGATGTTGAAGGAACAAATCGAGATGTTGAAAGTTGAGAAAGAGAAACACTCAAGGAGGCATTTCAACATGCCTCGAAGAAAAAAGGATTCCAAAATCCTGCAAAACTCAAGTTCAATCTTCTAGAAACTGGATAAAAATCATTTGATTGATGTTGAAGGAACAAATCGAAATGTTAAAAAAAGAGCGAATCAATATGTTAAAAGTTGAAAAAGGCAGACACTCAGGGAAATATTCCAACATGTCTCAAAAAATACGGATTCCAAAGTCCTGCAAAAACTGAAGTTTCATCTTCTAGAAACTGGATAAAAAATATTTGATCGATGATGAACGAATAAATCGAGATGTTGAAGAAAGAGCAAATGAAGAAGTTGAAAGTTGAAAAAGAGAAACACTCAAGGAGGCATTTCATCATGTCTCGAAAAAAAAAGGATTCCAAAATCCTGCAAAACTCAAGTTCCATGTTCTAGAAACTGGATAAAAATCATTTGATTCATGTTAAAGGAAGAAACCGAGTTCACCATCAGCGACTTCGGAACATTCCGACTTTAGTTCGGATTCCATCTAGAAGACGAAAATATGAAAAAATACGAAATTTCACACGCTTTTGCAGATCCTCACAAATATTTGCGTATTTGGCTCGGCATTCGGCATCCATTAAGCATAAGTGAAAATCTAGAAAATTGAAACTAGAGAAACAGAGAGACGGAAACACATAAACACCTGATATTTGTAGCTATTTGCCGAATGTGTGATAGAGGCTTAAGGTAGGTATTATAATAATCACATTTACCTTTTCTTTTAGACTTAGAAACGCTGAAACACAAAACTGGGCCTTAAATGACACGGGGACTTGAAAGTTTTAAAATGAGCAGTAAAAACGACGTTCATAAATGATGTCAAACCAAGTGTTGAACAATTGCAAGGTTGCCAGTTCTCATGTAATGAAACCTCAAATGAACCATTGCTTAGAAAAATGAAAGTTGATGTTTCTAACTGACTAATAGGGACTCAGAAGAATATTTTACTTAAATCTTAGTTGAATAGTTTACTGTTGAAGCTCTGTTACTTCTAAATTACAGCAAATTCGAAGGCATATCATAATTTTATCACTACAGAACTTTGAGGTATTACCACAAAATTTCCTTCAATTACCCCCAAAATTGCCTCAAATTACCAAAAATTACCCCGAATTACGACTCTATTTCCACTAATTACCCTAAATTTCCACTAAATACCACTCTATTTCCCCTAATTTCCAGTCATTACCACTCATTTCCCGTAAAATTTCCACTAATTACCACGATTGTGTACACTAAATTACCACAATGAAATCCCCCCTCGTTTAAACTTATCAAAAAGTATAAATTATACCTACGTGTTTCAACCCAATAACATAGCATGGCGCAGTGGAGTGGAAATGAAAATTAAGAAGCCCTTGTGCAAAAAATACAGAAAACAAGTTAGAGGTCATTCACCCTTGAAAAAGTGGGTTAGTATTTCGAGTAATAATAGGCTCAAAAGTGCGTAAAATCCAAAGAACCTCGCCTAAAAGTAGCAAAAATGGATGCTCGACTGGCAATGTTGCTGAGAATTTTCGAAAATTCAAGCAAAATTTGGAATTTTATTTACTGACATCGGAGAAAGACTCACAGCCAGAAAAAACCAAGGCAGCTATATTGATGAATATGATAGGAGATGAAGGGGTTGGAGTCATAAATACCTTGATGATCAAAAGGGTAATTACCAAACCGTTTTAAATGAGCTTGAGTTATTTTGCATCCCGGAGAAAAATGAAATGTTCGAAAGATTCGTTTTTTATACAAGAAATCAAGAGGAAGGTGAGTCTTTCGATCATTTTTACACGGACATCAAGAAACTATCACAAACTTGTGAATTTGGTGGAGAAATACACAAAGCACTAAGAGAATAGTAATAGGAATAAATAGTAAGGAATTGAGAGAAAAACTGTTCATACCGAAAAATCTGACATTGGAAGATGCTTTAAAAATATAAAATATGCCGAGCTAATGAGCTGTCAAAAAAGCAATTGAAGAATGTTGAGGATAAGTTAACGCGCAAAGTTCAAGTTATTGAATCCAAAGGTCAGTACCAGAGAGAATTTGAAAATAGTATTGTACCTAATCAGTGCAGTAATGATAATCCTCGTGATAATCAAAAGCAAGAAAAGTTTGATTGTAAAAGTGGTACGAGACATGTTTATAGACAATGCCCTGCTTATGGTAAGCGTTGTAGACGTTGTACTCGCTATGGTCACTTTGATGTTATGTGTCGTAATTTGTCAACTGCATCAGGTAGCAGGAATCAGAGGCAAGTAAGAGAGGTTCAAGAAGCTGATGATGGTGAGACTGTGGATTATGTGGTATCGTCAATAAGTGTGAATGAGATGAAAAATGGTAAAGAATGGATGAAAAATAACAAGGTAGGAAGTGAAAATATTAACTTTAAAGTGGATAGTGCATCTCATGTTAATATTTTACCCAAGATTTTAGCAGATAAGTTGAAAAATGTAAAATTATAAAAAACAAAAGTAGTATTAGAAGCTTATGGAGGTTTTAAGATTATTCCATTGGGTATCATTAATGTGGATTGCAGTTACAAAAATAATGTTAAAAATCTTAAATTTATGATAGTAGAAGGTACAAAAAGTTCATCAATTTTGGGTTTTGAATCTTGTGAAGATTTAAAAATTCTACCAACAATAAATGCTGTGATTTGTGTCTCAGAAGAGGATTTTATCAAAAATAATCCTGATATTTTTACAGGTCTAGGAAAATTTCAGCTAAAATGTGCACTGAAACTTACAAAGTATGCTTTGCCAGTTGCGAGATCACCCCGCAGAGTACCTTTGGCAGTTCAAAGCAGACTGAAAGAAGCTTTAGAAGCATTGGTTTAAAAAGGAGTTATTTCTCCATGCCAGGGGTCTACTGAGTGGTTGAGTAACCTGGTAATAGTAGAGAAGCATGATAAATCTTTGAGACTTTGTTTGGATCCCCGTGATCTTAATTCAACTTTGGAAAAAGGGTTTTGCGTTGTCCCGACTCTGGATGAAGTGCGAGAAAATCTTAGAGGCTAGTCATACTTTGCAGTATTAGATTTTAAGGATCGGTTCTACCAAGTACAGCTTGATGAAGAATCAAGTAAGTTATGTGCTTCTAGTACAATTTTCTGTGCTTTTAAATTTAATAGGTTACCAATGGGTTTAAATTTTGCTCCAGAGTTCTTCCAAAAATTGAATCAAGAGAATTTTGGTGATTTGCCTGGATGTTTGATTTATTTTGATTATTTGAGTATGGCCTTCATTGCCAGCATTGGGATAGTTTTCAGATTTGATAAGCGCGTTCCGAACTTACTAGGTATCATAATACACATACTACCTACCTATTTATTACGAGGATATTGAAGTTGCTTACCAATTAATTTCTGATGATCATCTTGGAGCTGAGTAAACGTACATTTTAAATTTCTAGGATTGTAACTTGGTGAAATTGGCTGCTTATGATTTGGCGTTTCGAGATTTTTTTCAAGCTCGTCTCGTTTCCCTTTTTGACATCTTTCCAAAAAAACAATATTAGCAGGGATATCAAAAAATGTTACAAAAAAGTTCTTACCTTTTTTCCTGACAATGATCACAAACGAAAAACACACGTGTCTCGTTCTCTTTAATATGAAACGTTTCCCCTTGGAAAGTGCCCTCAAGCCAATCCTGTGTATTTAATTTTTTGGACTTATCAGCATGTGCAGTTTGATTGGCTTGATTTCTGGAAGATTTGCATCTGGTCAACAGTACAGATAAATTTGTTAAATTCTCGATCTCGTTCTCTAGTACGCCCCATTCTTCACGAAGCGTTTCGGCTGTTTTTGGAAGATTGTGATTTTGGAGAAACTGAAATAGGAACTTTTTGTTCTCACATACTACAAAGTCATAATACTCTTATTTGAGATGAAATTTTCTTTAAAATTTTCAAAAAAAACTGCATCATGATTTTTCATGTATGAAATCATCATAGCTTTTAAATCAGTGCCTAAATAATTCACTTACCAAAAAAAGTGTTTTGAAAATGCCTAGCGCATTTGGTTCCCTAAAAAATTATAAATCCTCTGATTTATTTCGTTGCAATGAAAATCTTTATAAGTCCTTACCCTATAAGACACGAATCTTTATGTTCCATGGAAATTTTGTAACGAAAATGAACTACAAAAATGGAAAAGACGCGAAACACTTGCACTTGTTTCGAGTTGTCAGCATTATTTCACCCGCGAGGAACGCGAAATTTAAACTGGATGCGAAAAAGCAGGAATTTGACAATTCGAAGATCGATAAAACGTCTGGAACGTCAAAATTGCATGTCAGATGCCTGAAAATAATGTAGGAGGCTTGTATCAAGGACCTATGATAGCTTCTTACAGTTTATAGTTTGGGAAAGAAGTAAAATTTAGTCAGTAAGGAAACAAAATAAGGGTTCTTTGATGTTTTAGAGATGTTTTGAGAGCGTAAAGCAGTCAGCAGTCAAATGAATCGGTACCAAAGATGATTCTAAATAATGAGTGTAGATTATTTTAGAAACTTTATAGCGTTTCCTTAATTTTCTCAAATAGTTTCTTCTTGCCCTAATTCCTACATGGAATAGTATCATTGCTTCTTCATCCTCTTTTTTTTTCTAACAGTAATAATTTTACAATATCTTCCATGTTTAAAATTTCACTTACCTAACGCAAGGATATATTTTTCATTGGCAAAAAGGTTTTTATTCCGAAATATTGAACAGAAAACCATAGCCAAAAGATGCGTTACGAAATCCTATACCTTTAGAAGAAATTTGAACTTTTCTTGAATGTTTTCTGGCCGCTACAAATGGAGCTTTATTAGGCCAATGTAGTCGCGTGTCTCTGGCTGGATGCGACCTACTTCAGAGTTCTGAATCTGCCATAGCGGTTATGAGAGAATATTTTATAGTGGCATTTTAGCAATAGCAAAATTACCGCAATACGGTACGAAAGCAATTATTTTTCTTGAGAATTGAGTTGTTTGTTTTAAAAAATACACAATTTTTAAAAAAACAAAGATCAAATTAATCCAGTTAATTGTTTATATTGTGCGTACATATTGGCTCTTGAATTTATTGGTGTTTTCAAAGTGTTGTCTTGTGTTAATCTATCTGATAATTAATGAATTTGAAGTCAACGCTGATTTTGCTAGTCTGAATAATTACTTTGATAAAACAAATTGGACATTTATTCAACATTCAGCAAGTATACTGATCAGGGTTTAGAGATCTTCTACATGGGTTCGTTACATTGCGGTGTTGAAGCTTTTGTACCCAAGAAAAAGTTCAGATCGATTAAATACTTTTCAACAAAATCCATCAATTTACTAAATAAAAAAAACAAAGCTTTTAGTAAGTGGAGAATGTCCTGTAGATCAGTTGAAGAAGAAGTAATTCACAATAAATATAAAATCCTTCGTGCTATGACTGAAAAATCCATCGATATTGATTAAAACAATTTTGTATATTCAGTTCAGAAGTCAGACCAATAATGAGAAATGTTAGAGCATTTTGGTCCTATGTAAGAAGTAAGCGGAATTGTACGGGACTTCCCGGGCATATTAATATACTGTAATGATCCGGAAAAATAGACCCGATAATTACAATGTCTTTACTGTAAAAATTAAATGTAATCAAATAATCAAAAACTGAATTTCCGGTATTTCAAATCAGTATCGATAAATTGAAAATGAAACAAATTAGCGTTGACCCCAAATTAAATTAAAATATTTATATACGTTAAAAATTCTATTATTTAGTCACCAAGCGTGATCTAAAATCAATGAGCTTATTGAAAGCGAGGCCAGAGTAATTAAATCGATGATTAATGTCTCACGTGTGCCGGTCTTCTTTGTGTTGGCCTCACATTCTTCAACCAAAGATGTGTTGACCCCTATAAATCAGGATATTGCGACATAATTATTCGATTTTAAACAAATAAAAATGACAAAAATTTCAAATAGATTGCATCATTATTTTTTGACAATATCTAGGTCGGCCAATGGAATTGACTTATTGATGGTCAAACGACCGCCTATTGATGATTTTGGTGGATAATTAATAATACTTTGGGGGGGGGATTGAAAAATATAAAACAGGCGGTTTTAGAAGTGGAAGTCAGTTGTCAGATCAGTTCGCAGTCCAGTCCAGTCCGGTTAAAATTCGCGAAAAGTTTCTTTAATGGCGTATGGCCTCGGGTTTAATTTAACTTAGAATACGGAATATTGTGAAAGAAAGAACATTTAAAGGCGTTCAATATTATGTGCGAGCTCTAGAAATTTTGAGTAATTAATTATTTTATCGACTGATAATTTAAATGTAAGTACTTTAGTGATTATTATTGTGTTCTGACTTTTAACAATGATTCGGAATGATAAGAAGTGAATTGACATTGACTTTAAATGCATAAAAACTTGAGTGATTTGACTTTAAAAACTGTATGGCATAACTTTAATTGCCCTCGAGTATAATGACATTTAATTTAATTTTGCAAAGAAAATATGAAGGGAATTTATAATGCTCTTAAAAATATACGATTTTGAGTAGGAATTATTAAAGAATTTTGAAATGAATTGTCCAATTGAAGTTTAAGGGCTATAGTAACTAACTAGTAAGAATTTAAATAATTGTGTATGTTGGCTAGGAATCCGAAAGTAGTGATTGTTCTGATTAAATTGATCCTTATTAGAAGAATAAACCATTAAATGTATAAATGTAAATGGGAAGTTTTGAAATGAAACTTATTGGTCATGAAATGAGTTTGGATTTAGGATTTTACTCATTTAGAAATAATTGTAAGGTTTTTATAAGAATAAGTTAGTAATACCTATATTAATAAACAAATAATTATTTTGATTTTGCATAAGCAGTCAATAAAGGACTTGGGAATTTTTGAGAATTTATAGATATAGGTGAAGGATAGTTTAATAGGAATGTGAATCGGAAGTTTTGTGATGGATAAACTTACAAGTTATTAAGAATAGTAGAAAAAGGGTGTTTCTTTTGTATGGATATTTCCTGGTCCGTAATAATGACATTTGAACGGATGTGAAATAATTTCAATTGGGAAAAATAGGAGTGGCTGTCAGAATTGGAAGATATTTTGCTTATTTAAATTTTTGGTTTTATGTATAATAAAATATAATTTAGTAAGCCTCAATAGTTTGTTTCTCTGTTTTGCGAATAGACCCTCAACAATTTTATAGGTAGCAGCTCCAAGAAAATAAACACCATCAATATACCGCTCGCCATTCACCATCTAACCAATTACATAGAGTACTTGGGGCGTTTCGCTACAATGCATTATGATGGTAGAAAATCAGATAATTTAAACGATATATATATATATTTTTTGGTAGTTGGTGGGGATGTTGATTGGGATTTGGGGTATTTATTGTGATTATTATATTAAGAGCGATGTAAATTTATCCAGAATAGAATTTCACAGTGACTAAGTTTTCAAGAAGTTGGTTAATTTAGACTGCAGAAAGAGACCTGTCCCTGATGGTATTCCTCCCCTATTTTATAAAAATTGTAGTCCTTCCTTGTCGCTTCCAATCAGTGAAATTTTTCGGCTTTCACATTGTAAGGGTTACTTTCCCAAAATTTGGAAAACAGCCTACGTCAGTAAAAAAGTTTTTTCCGGGCTATAATACCGTGGTCCATTAGTATTACTAGTTTCTACCTAACGTTTCGTCTACTGCTGCGGTAGACACGAGGGTAGACATCTTCAGAGGCGGTGTGGTAAAGGACGAAGTGTTCTCTTTCGTGTTCCTCCGATGACTGTCTATGCCTATGTCACCCCAATTCTCAAGGGAGCCGGGACAAGAGTAACTTTAGAAATTATCGTCCTATCTCAGGGATAAACTGTATCGGCAAAATTTGTGAATCGATAATGGTTGCCGAGTTAAAATTTGTCTTTGGGCGTATTATTTCTGGAGACCAGCATGGATTTCTGACGGCTCGTTCTTACCAAAGAAATCTCTCTGTTTTCGCGGACCACCTGGCTAAAATCATATACAATAATGGCCAGCCTTTGATTTTAAAAAGGCTTTTGATCGAGTTCACCATTCACGTTTGATATGCAAACTTCATGCTTATGGGATCGGGTTTCCTTTGCTGATCTGTTTTGAAATCTTATTTGACTGATCGCACGCAAAAAGTAAAAATAGATAACGTCATTTCTGATACTATAGATGTTCAGTCTAGAGTACCTCAAGGGTTCCATTTGGGTCCAATTCTTTTCCTAGCATTTATAGATGATGTCAAGTATGTAATAAACGATTCAAAGTCATTGAGTTTTGCAGATGATGAGAAGGTGTATAATACTATTGATACGGAAGCCGATTGCAGTGCTTAACAGAAAGATATAGATAATTTGGTTAATTGGTATGGATTGAACAGGCTCGAAATAAACATTGATAAATGTAAAGTGATAAATTTTTCAAGAAAGCTAAATACTATCAACTTTAATTATCACATAGATGGGCAACAAATATTTAGAGTCAGCATCATGCGGGATTTAGGAGGTGTTTAATTCCAAATTATCTTTTTGTGATAATATATAAATGATTCGGTCACCAAGACCAATCGTATGTTGGCATTTGTGCTGAGACAATGCTGGGATTTCACTGATGTGGAGGCGATAAAATGTCTCTACTATGCTTTAGTCAAGAGTCATTTGGAATAGATTATGTTATTTGGTCCCCCTTTTATAAAGAATACCTACAACTCTCGTTGTAAAAAGCTTGGAATCGAGAAGAAATTTGCTTTCGTTAGCATTTACGCACATAATTCTGACTGATACTGTTGCTTGTAATGATCTATTGAGTATGCTTAACTTTCAAGGTTTCAACGTATAAAACTAAATCAAACGAAACAATGTTTTACAAAAATAAAAGTCGTACTAACATTGGTAAAAATAGTGTTAGCATTAGCAACCGATTAATGGAACTGTATGACAGGTATATTCCTCTCGATTTCAAGTTAGACTGCCAGCCGGCAACTTTTAAGTTTAAACCAAAGCGAATATTGAATGCTAATTCTTAAATGTTGAATTGTGTCTTGAGTGTTGAATGTTCTGAATTGGTTTTCTCGGTTTTATCTTTTATCCATTATACCTTAGGATAGGTATATTGCTTATGATACACTATATAGGTACCTATCTATTGTTTGCCCAGCGGATCTGAGTCTACGGCAGGAATTCGGATGTAAATCTCGCTATTGGCCAGGCCTGACGTCATTTTATCCTCCCATCTTGGAATATCAATTTATATTGAAATATCCAGTGGCGGAGGTTTGGTCATTGTCAATTTTCGTGTACGAGTTGCAATACGATAACACTTCCAAAAAGTTCCACACGCAGCTGGGTATTTTATGAATGAAATCAGCCATTTTTTTTTACAACTGCATTCCCTTCACCGTTGCCCTGTAGACACAGATTCGCTGGCAGACATTATGTACTATAATACAGAGAAAGTAAAAAGAAAAGGGAATCCTTTGATCAATCCTCATTGGAACACCCTCCCTGTACCTATAAAAATGATATTGATAAAATATTGTCATTCAAATTACTTCTTATTGCACGAAGAAGAAAGAAGCTGTGGGAGAGCAGGCGCAGCTCGAAGGGCGATAAGCCATAACAAGGCAGGTGCAGCTTGACTGAGGGGCAATAACTTGAATCAGATGCATATGCACAAATAAAAATGTTTCTGAGTTTGATTCTGAGCTTTAATTACCCAATACGCTGTTTATTGCTGATGCACGTGAATGTTTTATTTCTTCAAAATCTTTGTCTTACGCTGATGATCAAAAATCTTATGCAGTGGTTAGATCCATCGAGGATTGCTATAGGTTCCAGGAAGACTTGGATCGCTTTTATAATTATTGTGTACTTAATCAACTCTCCTTGAATGTGGATAAGTGCGATTATGTAAAGTTCTCTAAGCTTAGAAATGAAATTGGTTTTGCATATACATTTAATGGAGTGACTATAAAAAAGGTAGAATTTATCAGAGATCTTGGTGTGACGATTGACTCTAAACTCTGTTTCGATATTCATATAGAAAATGTAGTAAAAAAGGCATACAAAAATTTAGGGTTTATTTTACGAGTGAGTAAAGAGTTCCAAGATCCAAAGTCATTAATTCTATTATTCAATTCTTACGTGCGATCCCATCTTGAATTTGCAAGCGTAGTGTGGAACCCTCAATATCATAAGTATGTCAATCGTGTTGAAAAAATCCAAATCGTTTATTTATCATCTAAATTTCAGATATAATCGTCATCTCATTAATGCTTTGTATGAGACAAGCCTAAATCACTACAAAATGTTGCAGTTATCTTCACGAAGAATAGTCTCCAGTGGAATATTTTCACATAATGTAATTGCACATAGAATTGACTGTCCTATGATATTGGGAAGACTGTCTTTTAATATTTCTGGTGTAAGGACTCGAACGCCTACATTATTTTACCCCCCTAGATATAATACAAATTTGGGCAACAAATCTCCATTTTCTTTATTGCAGAGACAGTAATAATGATTATTTTTCACATATTGATATTTTTGCTTTATCACTTAACGCATTTCGAAACCAATCAATCCTTGTTTTTATTTCGAATTAAATACGAAGTTTTTGTTATAGCAGCAATTAAGTACTGCAGTATTAGATTTTTTTTTTTCTCTTTTTCTCTTGCTCTTTTTGGGTTTACTGAATAATTAGTTTTAGTTTTATTGTCTTGAATTTAAGATAAATGTAATATCTATAGTGTACTCTTGTAAATTGTGATGTTAATTCATCATGTTAGGGTACCTTTTGTAATAATTAAATAAATAAATAAATAAATACCTACCCATAAAAATCACCATCGTAAATTTTGGAATGACGTTTTTAAAATATTTAATAATGTTTCTTAAATATTTGTTTTGATGTTCACAAAACCAATATAGTTTTTTCAATGTGTGGAAAATATTTTATTTATATATTTTTTAAAATATCCTAAAGATGTTCAAAAAATATATTTGGATACTATTTTAAAAATGTTTTTAAAATATTCTCGAAAATATCATACAGATAGAAACATTTTTAATACCTACATCGTTTCTGAATCCGCATTATTTTTCTTTTTTATCGATGATGATGTTCAAGAAACATTTTCATACTTTCTAAAAATATTCCTAATACATTTGAAAAATATCGCATATGGATGGATATTCAAAAAATATCGATTCGTTACCGCAGAATGTTCAAAAAATGTCCTAAAAATATGTTTTATGGATATTTGGATGTTTTAAAAATATATTTGATCCGAAAAAAAATATATTTGATCCGAAAAAAAATATTTTTCGAAGGTTCAAAAAATATTATTTGGCTATATTATATGCAGGAGTTTTTTAAATAAAATAATGTTGTTTTTTTTTTTTGTTTTTGAGTTTGCATTTTCTATTTTAATGTTATTTATATGATTTTCAGCTTTTATTTTAGTATTAATGTTATAAATAGCAACTATAACTGTAGGTAGGTACTAGTTGTGTAGGAACATCCACCTGTAATTATACAACTTTGAATAAATAAATAAATAAATAAAGTAATAAGTTAAGTTTTAGGTTCATTTGGATAGCAAAACTGAACCCGTTATTCTGGTATATCTATAAATTAGATACCGTTAAAACTCTACACTGCAAAAATACTCCCAAGCAAAACGGATTGCAATTCAAATCCCTATAATTCTCATTCGTCACGATATCGTTACATCCCGTACCTGTTGTCGCTACCCTTAATATTATTCATATTTTTTTCCCCTTCATATTTAATCACCCTTATTGCATTAATTTGCGATCATTAAAATAATATTAATAATAATTTTGGTGGTTCAAAAAACAAAAACATATAGAATGTAATACATAATTATTATTATTATTCGATTTATTTTAACGCACATTATTTACAGTATATTTTTTTAATATATTATCAGACTTTATACAAATGTGTTTTCGCAATGATTATAAAATACATTTTATAGTACAAATAGTTTATATCATACTCTGGGGAGAAAGGACAGTGTGCAAAGAATGATGCCATATTGAGGCATCTTTATATGTATAAATTAAAATTAAACAAACTTAAATTAAAATATTAATTACAAGGTAACAATTAATTAATTTTATTTAATACTATTATTATATGCTAAAATATGCCACATTTTGTTTCCAATAATTTATACGCAGTGAAATACCTAATTTTGGTATGATTTGATGCACCTTATTGTATAAATTTGAAGTCACTTTTTTTTTAAATGATTGAATGAGAAATGCCGAGATTATCATTTCCCACTATAGTGGCTACCCATATGCGAAGGAGGCCCCCTATTTTTGTGGTTAGTAGTATTATTGTACCCCCGACTTCCAGGCCTAGAGTGGACTATAGCGTAGTGGTCGCTGTGTGAGGATATCGAACGTGCGGAGTTTAGTGTCGAGCCCCCTGAAGTGTAGCCTTTAGGGTGCTGAGGAGCGCCGTTTAGGGAATATCTGGAAAAAAAAATTGGAGATAATTAGTCAAATGTGGCAACACTTGATTTGTTTTTTAGTGCAGTATTAATTAATGGTCAAAGTAGTGAGGGGAAATAGTGGTAACTAATACAGAAAATCATACACATTGGCCAGTATGATTAAAAAGAGTATTTGCTTGTACTTCAAGTAAGAGCTTTTACTTCCTAGTAATTTGTGGAGTATAATCTTTTACATGAAGTAAATTCTTTTATGAGAAGTATTTACTAAGGTTAGAAGTATAAACTAGTAGTAAATACTAGGACGTGTTTAACCTCAAATAGGTTCTTTTTGTTTCTTATGTGGGTAGAATCTATCGCTTCTATTGCCCCAAGTATCGTCCATCTATCGTTATAGCTAATTCAAAACGTCACGGGCATTCTGCGGAAAAGAAATCTAAACATTTTTATTCCACACAATTTTTTGTGAAACATCTTTAATTACTTTTGACCCGGTTGTTTGATGTACCCTAACATCTACATCAACTCCTTGTTGAAATCCAGGATCACTTAGGGTCGGTATTATAATGTCCGGTTGACCGATAGTTGAGTTTCAACCTTCGGTCAACTGGACATTATAATACCGACTCTGAAAGTCCTTGAAAATATCTCCATCACATATTTCCTTCCTTTTCTTACCATTATATTTATTGAAAAAAGCCATTTATAACGCCCTTTCAATCGAAGCAATTGATGTGAAGTTACTCTTGAGTAACTTCTCAAAAACTACACCGAATACTCCCAAATGGAGGAAATACTAGAAATCGTTAGTAATTTAGTAATTTCTCTATATTCAAGTAAATAGAGCAAAGTATGAAGTAAATGCTTCTAGTACTTACTTTAAGAATTATGTGGAGTAAATGCTATAATTTTTTGAAGTGAAAACTACAAAATGGAGCATTTACTTGAAGTAAAATACAAATACTCTTTTCAATCATACCGCCCAATATCTGCTTTACTATCATAAATAAGGCTCCACTACACCTTAGTGGCTGACATTTTTTAGTAGAGTTATATAGAAGGAAGTTTCTGTTACACTGATGATTTCATTTATAAGATCTGTTTTGTGTTTGTACAGTTTGTACAGTATTGATTTTTTTATCAAATATATATATTTCCGGCTTATAGCGTTCTTCAACGCCTTCCAATTTCCGTTCTCCATCTCTCTTGGTCATTCCAATCTCCTACATCAAGATTGCGTTTGGACATTGCTTTTGATATATTCTTTGTATCCAAGAACATTTAGGTCGTCCTCGTTTTCGTCTTTCTTGGGGAGTCCATTCCATTACCAACTTGGGAATTCTTTCTGGTGACATTCTTCAAACGTGTCCGTACCATTTCAACCAGACTTCAACGTTTTGCGTAACATTTTTCCTAACTTTCATTATCTGGCGGCATCTATCATTTCTCACATGTTACAGTCGAGATATACTTGATATGTCCTATACCAAAAATCCATTCCGGTGGATAGCAGTCTGTTCTGTTGTTGTTGGTTAAGTTGCCACACTTCGCATCCGTATAACATTATGCTCTCCACAATAGCATTATGTATTAGGGATTTGATGTTGGGCGTGATATTTTTCGACCACATTACAGACTTTAATGCCCCAATTGCTTTCTTGCCTTTTGTTATTCTCTCTGCTATTTCCTTTTCACTTCTTCCCATGCTATCAATCTTCACTTCAAGATATGTTTATTCCTCGCAACCCTGTACAGCTGAATTGTCGTCTAGTGTGAGATCTTCTGACTCCTTCCACACACATATTATTTTTTTTTGCTCATGTTGATATGTAATCCCCATTTCTGGTATTGTTCGATTAACTTTCTAGTCATAATATATTCCATATCTTCTGTATCATGAGCTATCACAGCTTGATCGTCAGCGAAGTACAGCGTGTATAGTGTTCCTCAAGTTCCTTTCCATAGTGTTCTTTCCATTTTTCCAGGATAATTATTGGAAAATTCACTTTAGTCTTGTGGTTTGATTTCAAGGAGCTTATAGCCCGCCATGCATCTGTTGATCTTGTGCCCCCAATAAAGGCATTTATGTGACTGCACTTCTTTTCTCAATATTCGTTCTTTTGTTTTGTCTGAAGTCGCTTAAAAGAAGCTAACTCTGTTCTATAGGGTTTCCGGTCTTCCTGTGTACCTGTACTGAGCCATTTTTGGTAGAGCTCTTGTTTCTTGGCTTTTTGTTCTTCAAGTTCTTCGTTCCAATCATCGGTTAGTCTTCTTTTGCCTTTTTCGTAAGTTCCCAAGCTCTCCATGGCGGCGGCTTTTATTGTTTTTTTCAAATGAGACTATAGTTGATCCAGAAATGCGTTTATCAAGTTTTCGTCAAGTTTTTTTGTTTAAGCGGCTTTGATATAAGTGCTTGACGCTTTCCTCTTGAAAAAGTTCTACTTTATACGACGGATTATCAATAGTATTGAAGCTTGTTGAATCCTCATCGAGTTTTTTATTGTTGGTTTTTTTAAAGGGGATTTTTATTTTTGCTTTGACTAGGAAATGATCGCTTCCACACTCACTTCCACGCAATGCTTTAACATCCTGACATATCAGTTAAGAGTCCTGACGCAGAATAACGTAGTCAATAATTATTGATCGTAGTTGCCTTGTTTCCTGATGCCAAGTGAAGCGATGGATGTCTTTATGTTGGAAGAAGCCATTCAAAATGTTTAGGTTGTGTTGTTGACAATTCTATTAGCCTTTCTCCGTTATCATTGGGAACATTTTCTCCAAATTTTCCTACGACAGGATGCTTTCCCTTGTCCTATTGTTTAAGTCTCCCATGAGTTTAATCTCCCTTAGGTCTTCAATTGTTCCCAGCTATTGTTGAGTTTTCTTTCTTTATGCCAGCGCGTCATTAGTAGGGGCATATACCTACACCAATAGTTATTTTGTACCCTCGGTGGTTGATATTTGCCATCACAATGCGTTCAGTGTTTGTTTCCCAATTGGTAATTTTCTGTTCATAGCTGTTTTTTATTACAACGGATAGGTACCCCCTTTGCGGCCCGTTCTTCTTTGGGAACTCCACTGTACACGTGTAGATATTCTCTTACTTTTTCTATTCCTGAGCCTTTCTTCTTGGCTTCCATTTATACAGCTATATCAATGTTTCCTATTTGAATCTCCCGTAAGACGTCATTTAGTTAATTTTTTGAGCCTTGAATGTTCCATGTTTCATAGTTCATGTCCTTTCGTTGCATGGGTCATCATCGTTTGGTCTGATCAATAGGATTCCGAGGCTGGATTGTGGGATTTGTTGGATAGTAGAGTTCTTGACAAGGACTGAGCTGCAAACTCTAAGCCTCAACCCCCAACCTAGAGGACCGGGTGATTTGTGGTCAAGGTTTTCTTCCTCTAGCCTTTGATGATCCAACATCCAACTACAAGGCAGCAGCTTCGCCGTATCCTGCCAGGCACCCTCACAGAGTGCTATAATCCTGGCCAGATGGACCTTGGTTTTTAATCCTCTCCTCTTTCCTTACTTTTTGAGACTAAAGCCCTTAGGACTGACACAACGGAGTATTTACCAAAATCCTTATAAAAATTTAACTCTACTCTAACAGTAATTTTGATTCTGTATGTATCGACAGCATATTCACAATTAAAATTTAAAATTAGGTTTGTCCGACAATAGAAAATTAATAGGTACCTATTTGAAGAATTAATAGACGGTGAAGATTAGAGGGTCAACTGGGAAAGTTATCAATGGAAACGTTTCTAAGAGATACCTAGTTAATAAGTTCCTACCGGCTTTGACTCTTTATGGAGTCATCCTTAGGCTGGCCCTGGAAAGTAGATATAACGTTCTCAAACCTCAATAATTTGCATAAATTCATACTTAATATTTAAATATGATAGAGTTTTATCCTCACTTAATTGTTTGAATATATCCAATGACGCAGCTATTATTTAATAAATATATAGTATATGTCAGAATTTGAGACTTCTAGGTCTGTTGTTGTATCACGATTGGCGAGAAATGTGGAAAATATCACTGGATTATTAAAGTTACCAAAAATGAAGAAAGTTTGTGCACTACAGGGACGGAAAACTCGCAATTTAGTCTCAACACAAAACATTCCATTAAGGAACGAAGATGACCCATAACGGTTCAAGGATCTAAACAAGGAATTCAAAAAGATCATCAGAATCGTAAAAGTCATCAGAAAAAGCTGCAACAAGAGAGTTACCTATTCAAATAAATTCATCAAAACGTAAAGTTGGTTAGCACAAAATGCAAGATGGACTGGTCAGCAAAAAATTTATAATCATCTGGCCGCCTGATCCTGTAGAGAACATTTTCAACCAATCAGTTGCAGACTACCGAAGTACTACGATACATTCATACCCAGACAGCAGACAAAGTCTTTAAAGACGTCTTTTTTAGAACTGCATTTCGCCTGAACGTCTGAAGACCGAAAAAAGACGCCTAGAAGAAGCACATAAAATGTCGTAAATACAACTGAGTTAAACTATTTGGTACCACCGGACCTGAAAATGAATAATGGTTTATGTATTAGAAAGAGATTCAAAGACGTCTTTAAGACATCTTTGTCTTAGAAAAATGTTATAAAGAAGTTTTCAGGCAGACGTTTGAAAGACGTTGGGTTTTGTAACATACGACGTCTTTAAGATGTGAACACGTAAGCAGACGTTTAAAAAACGTCTTGGACTGTCGTTTGTGGGTATCTTAGGGTCGTTTTTATGATTTTAAGAACTTTATTAAGCCCTTTGGAAAGTTCAAAATACTTAAAATTCAATTCAGAATTCTTTTGTAGCGCTTCAGAACAATTTGGAAACTTCAGAACTATTTTAGAATGCTCCAAAACATTCAAAAACCGAATTACAATTTCGCAGAGCATTTTAGAACAATTCGGAAGAAACCCATTTTAGGGCGCTCGAACCAAAAAAACTCAAACACTATAGAATCTCCAGAAACATTTTGAAAAGCGCCAGAATCTTAGGATTCAGGTTAAAAGTTAGAATAAGCCTTCCAGAAGGTGTTCAAGAGCGAATTTAAATTGCTGTAGAATTCCAAACCTTTAATAAGCATCCAAATCAGAATTTTTCAGGATCATTTTGGAACAATTTAGAAACTTCAGAGTTATTTCGGAAAAATTAGGATTTTAGGAATAGGAATTTAGAATAGGAGCTTTAAAAGGACACTAGAATACTTAAAAATGTGCCAGAACAATTTAGAAATTACTGAAAAACGTCTAGAATCCTCCAGAACTGTTCAAGCCGAGTAAGAACACTTTAGAACTTCAATAAGCTATTTAGAACGTTCCAAAACACTTTCAGGCAGCATTTTGAAAGGCTTCAGAACAATTTAAAAACCTCAGATTATTTCATAGAGCCTACTAGCACCTGGAATAGACAAAAATTGAAAGTTATAAATGAGTAGATAATAATACTTAACAAAATATTAGCCCTGAAGACATCTTTGGGCAGACGTCTGAAAGACGTTGGGTTTCGTAACATATGACGTCTTCAAGATGTCTTTCAGACGCCTTGAAGACGTAAGCAGACGTCTAAAAGATGTCTTATAGGGACGACTTAAAGATGTTTCTGTGCTATCTGATTAAGAGCTATCTAGAGTAGTAGCACTTGAACACTGCAAAAATTTTAATGTTCTGGAAGAACTTATTACTCTGCTAGAACACCTTTGGAACTAAAACCGAAGTCGTGAGACTCATAATAAACCTAAAAAATCTAAAACTTGAGCTCTGAGAACATGGATCATCACTGTAGACTATCACGCTCTATGGGTAGAGAGAGGTAGAGGTATTCAGTTCGGAATCAATGATAAGAGCCTGATAAGCAGAATCCAAAACGAGAAGAAGAGCATAGGTATACGTGACAACAAAAAGTAACATAGAAAGTCCTAGGAGATGAAAAGTTGGCAATGATAGATGACAATAGACAAAACTGTATCCAGAGCATGGAACAAAGCGGCCTATTTTATGTTATCTATCTCATCTCATTTTAATTCTGTCCATATTGAGCACATCAACACAAATGGTCAGACTTAAAAGTCCCAAATCAGTGTTAGCAACGTTGCCAATAATTCAAAAGAGTAAAATTTTTCTGGGACAAGCAAATAAAATTCTATCATATTATCCTAAATTCCGTAAAAGAAAATATCTATATAGTGGAAAATTCTTACCTAGAACCGTACTGGCTCCCGTGCCAGCTCCGATAAGGATCGTAATCTTCGATAATGCTCGGTTCTTTTTCAATTATTTCGGTGCGGGCGCAAGCGCACGTCATAGCAGAGCAAAGGAAAATGTTGATGATCAGCATGATCAAGAACAAAATGCCGAAGGCGACGCACAACCATAATAACCAACTCGGATGCACGCCACTGGTGGAGTCGTCGCATAGTTCTTGGACTAGAGGAGCTTCACCTAAAAGTTTAAAGTGAAAAAAATTTACTGAAAAAAAAAAGAACTTACTCGGATCAAGTACAAAGACAGTATTAGCAGCCATAAGCACTCCTTCATCGTTATTTATGGCCAAGGAATTTGAGACGTCTCCTGTACAGGAGGGTTGCAAACAAGCACCTTTACATAAAGCAACATCGCACTAGAAAAAACTTACATTAAATATAAAAATAAAAAATAGGACAAAAAAAAAATTACCTGAAAATGTACTTCAGAACTTTCAGGAAACTTGAACATTGACCTAATAGGAGCTTCCGCTGCACCTTTGGCTTCATCGTAAGTAAAAGGGCCTATCACGTCACCCTTGACAGGACATCCTCGGTCATCAGTTAAACTAACACTAGTGTTAGCTCTATTGAAAGCAAAGCAATTTTTGACTTTGAAGCCGTAAGAGTTGTCTGGTTTAGTGATTTCGATTCTAGAAAAAAGACAACCTGGATGAGTAACTTGAGGAGGAATTGATTTAGTGAATTTCCTACCTCAAAGTATAAGGGTTGCTGTAGACTGCTCTAGTAACTTTTCTGCTACCATCGAGAAGTTGTAGAGCTACAGGCGATGACTGATTTTTAATTGCGGGTTTTCCACAAGTTATGACGTAAAACTTGTCGTCGGCTAGTTCAAGAGTTCGATGGATTCTTACTGCAATTGGAACTGATTTTTCTTGGGTTCTCTAAAAAAAAAGAGAAAAACTAATTTTAGATGGTCAATGTCAGGATTTACCATAGATTTGCATGACATTATTTTTCAACATCAAATAGTTTTGAATATCCATTTTAATTCCTTAGATCACTTCATATTATTTATTCTCATTATAGTTTTCTGATTTAAATAATTGTAATGTTTTTCTGAATGTTAGATACCCACTTTTTACCATATAAGTATGATTAATTTAGTATTGAATCCGTGTCAAGGACAACATCTAATCATCGATTTTCCAAAGAAACATCTCTACAGCTTGCTAGGTACCTACATCGATTTCATACCAATAACAGAAATTCCTACATGGACAAACTAAAATAAGAAATGGTTTGGTGGACAGATACACCCCATGCATCCTTGACAGGCTATATTTCAATACGTGGGCATTCTGTCGAGGTTAGTAATTTAAATTTATATTCTGCAATGAGCTCGGTTCGGTATTATTAAGTCATTGTTAATAACTGGGCGGGTCCGTGACCATATAAAACTTGGCGAACGACCAACCTGACGTCACAAAACCACATCCCACCAATATATTAATAGTTTGCATACCACACACGGAAATATCGGATAAGTATTGCATTGAATCGAAAAACAGAACTAGGTATGTGACTGATTTTATAGTTTGATGTTCAGTAGTTTCAATAAGCGTCAAAAATATTGCTGCCTTACCTAACAAGTGAAGAAAGTGATATCTACTTGTCGCATGAACTGAACAGTAGTTACCACTGTCACAGAAAATCGTGCAGAAAAGTGCAATATTTGAAATGCTTTCAGGCAATAGTATATTGTGCAACAAGTGAGAAAAATAATATATTTTCCACGAAAAATGTGCTTTCGAGAACCTCATTCCTTTTCAACATATTTTTGGGCTTTGTGGTATTGCTTGATGCAAAGGTTGATGTCGATGGGTTGCGCACCCATTGACCATACCATAGTTTCTAATTCGTTTAGAGATTCTTATTCAATAAATCAGACAAAAAAAATTATAAATTTGATTGTTCAAACTCTACCGACAAAAGTAATAGGTATTCAAATATCATCACTGAAGGTTACAGTATAATATCTATAATCTAATTTATGCAAGAACACCTGAATACCTAATTATTTTGCAAATTAAATTCCTCTACTTAAACAGGATCAAAATTATAAATAACAATAATTTTTTTTAATGACAGATGAGTATCGTACAACGTTGAATTACAATGATAATGCTAAATATCTCATTAAAGTAGGTACTGAGTCAGTTTTAAATCTTTTCATCTCATCTGATTGGAAGTTTTTTACTTCAATACTGAACAAAAAAAGCATGTCAAAAGGCTGCCCTTTGCCCCTTTCAAGGATTCCAACATAATGTGGAAGGTAATGGAGGTCACAAGGGCTTAAATCGGGACTACATGGAGGCCATTGAATCAAAATTTTTGCCTTGTGAGCAAAACACGGTTAGTGTCGTCTACTATTCCAAAAAGGATCTTTAATTTGATTAAGGATGTTGTCCATGTAATAATCCCAGAAGCATCTCAAAAACTTCTCCTTTTTTTTTGGCATTCTGTACTCAACTTACTTTCCTTATACATTCAAATTCCTAAATAATAATTTATTATATTTTTTTTTTTTTTTTTGTAAAACAAGATTCCTTATCCGATTATTGATGATGTAATTTTTTGTAATCAAATTCCTTTAGATGGTCAAATTTAGGACGTAAGTTTTATTGTTACAGCCGCACAATCGAGCCCAGTTTATTATTGTATAATTGACTTGAAAATACCCACCCATGTATTGCAAAATCATATTAATTTTAAATTACAAACCGCACGTACAAACATAAATTCTTCTGAAGTATACGGCCTGCCAAGGATGAACCGACTTGACCATTCTTTATTGTTTGGTGCATTATTATCAGAACAATATGAAACGAACGAATGCCATATTATTATTTATTTATTATTGCAGTGACTGGAATTTTCATTTTGAATAGGAACGATAATTAATTATTTTTGGACAGTGAATATGGACTTGCACCTTGCACTAATGAATTGGCAATGACACAGATTAATATTTTGGCATTAATACCCAGACAAAGTTTTAAAAACGGCTTTTTTAGGTCTGCATTGCGTCTGAACGTCTACATACGTCTAGAAGAAGTCCATAAGATGTCGTGAATTCAGATCTTAAAGACAACTGAGCCACACAATTACCGGATGCTGAAGACATAACAGTCGTCCCTCGTAAATCTTCATTATAAATTCATTTTCTGAACTGGCTTACTTTTGCGTCTAAAAGTTATGGTGTTTTGTAGAATAGATGAATTATAATCTTGTGTCTCCCTTACCTCAGTAACATCATCCTTTTTTTTATTGTTAGATTCTTCTTGTATAGTATTGCTAGTATTCTGAATGTCTTCATCAGATTCTTCTTATAGAGTAGTACTAGTGGTTTATTGAATATCTTCCTTTGTTACTTCTTGTAGGGTTGAGTGAATATTATTATTGGTATTTTGGACAGCTCCATCCTCTTCCAAAAGAACTGCAGGATCATTAATCATGTTTTCGGTTACTTGTGTGATTGCAATATGGTCAACGTGTCTAAGCATATACGACCATCATCCAGTTTTGTTAAATAATGTAATAGACCCTTTCTTTCTGCAATGCAACTATTTTCCCATTTTGTATTTTTCTCCGAAAAATTACGAACTCTAACCCTCTCGACCCCTTCAAATTTCCTAAAATTTTCTTCTCCAACTGTCGATTTTAAATTTCCTTTTCCTTGTAAAGTAGGTTTTATCTTAGTTTTATGAGATCAAGTTTCGTTCGGATCTCGTAATTCATTAATTTTACGCAAGGTGAAACATTTGTAGTTGAATTAGGACTTCTTCTATATCGCACTAAAAAATTCTGTAATTTGTGGTCCAAATCTCCTGCTTCTTCAATTACTTTTTTTAAAGCCTTCTTAAAAGTACCTTTCGGCTTGTCCGTTTGTAGCTGGATGAAACGGTGCAGAGAACCTATGTTTGACGCCATTACTTTCCAAATAAAGTTTGAATTCAGTTGAGGTGAAGGTTGGTCCATTATTACTCATCAAAACTAATGGTAGTAATGGTAATCCAAAACGGGCAAAAATGTTTCACAATACTTTAATAGTACTTGAAGCAGTTATTGAAGGTACCGGTACGATTTCTGGCCATTTTGATAATGCATCGACTAAAACAAAAAAATATTCACCCATGAATAGGGCCTGCAAAATCAACATGTAAACGTTGCCAAGGTTGTTTTGTTTCTTCCCAAATATGAATGGATTTTGGAAGATCATTTTGTACATTTTGACAACTTATGCACTCTCTCGCTATTTTTTCAATATGTTTGGCCACCATACGAAAGATCTTGCCAAACTTTTCATTTTGATGATGCCAGTGTGAGCTTCGTGAAGTTCATTGATTACTCTTTTCCTCAAATAACTTGGAATAACTACCCGTACGTTTCTCATGATTAGTCATGATAATACCACAGAATACCTTCATTCAATGAAAACTCGGCATCTTTACCTTTAAAACCATGTTCAGTAATATGTTCTCCAATCTGCATATATTTATATATTATGGACAGAACGACATCGTTTCGCATTTTATGTACAATTTCTGTATGTGTTAAAGGTAGTTTTAGAATCTGTTGAAGTTGATAGCATGACACTGGAACATAAACTGGTATATTTGGTTCTTTATTCGATTGATTTTCCATTTCAGGTAATCTTGGAAGAGCATCTGCATTTTCATGATCAGATGTAGATCTGTAAACAATTTCAAAATGAAAACCTTGCCAAAATAATGCATAGTGAAGCATTCTGGTCGCCACCATCGAAGGCAACTTCTTTTCAGGGTGAAATATCGAAGTTAACGGTTTGTGGTCAGTAATCAGTTTAAAATGTCTTCCGTATAGGTATTTGAAAAATTCATTTAAACTCCAGTATATGGCTGTAGCTTCCTTGTCTATTTGACTGTAATTTTTCTCCGATTTTCTTAGTGTTCTTGACGCAAATGCAATAGGTCTCTCTGAACCGTCATCCATAATATATGATAGAATGGCACCCATTCCATAAAAGCTTGCATCTTTAGCCAGCGCTTCGTCAAGAGCAAGGGGACTATGCAATGAGTTTTTGAAAGATAGATATCAGGCAGTGTCCTGTAATGATAATATCTCTGGTCTTCTCAATGTGAACACCGGAATTCCGCAGGGATCAATTCTTGGTCCTATGTTCTATTCGATCTATGTGGGCATGTTTCCCTCAATCTTTCTCTCGTGCGCTCACCACTTCTATTGTGATGATACGCAGTCGTATCTCCCTTTTTATTTTTCGGAATCAGAGCAGGCAGTAGCAGCTGTTAATTATGACTTACAAAACTTGTTCCCAAAAGCACTGCCTGCAGCTAAACGCAAACAAATCGGCTGCGATGATTTTTGGAGCAAAGCGCGAGGAGGCATATGGAAATAGTACTAAAATCAATAGCGACCCTATTAAAATGTATAAAAGTTATAAAAACCTGGGACTGATAATTGATCAAGATCTTCGGTTTTCCGACCACATAAACAAAAAACTGCAATCTGGATATATTAACCTGCGATTAATCTGCCAAAACAAAAACGTCCTAACCAGAGAAATTAAATCTATGCTGTGCGAATCCCTTGTGTTATCACAATCAAATTTTTGTGACACTATATGTATATGGGCCCTGTTTAAAAAGTGAAGATTCTAGAAAAATACAAAAATTACAAAACTCATGCCTAAGACTAATATATGGTATAAGCAAATATAATAGGATAAGTCACACATTAAAACTAAATAATTGGCATATATGTACAATGTACAATAGGAGGCACTTGCACTCAGCAACTTTCTTTTTTAGCATTTTAAATAAAAAAATTTCAGATTACCTACATAGAAAAATTCGCTACAGATCAGATGTTCATAATATAAACG